GGGGGGGGGGGTAGGGGACAATGACCACAAGGTGGCTGCACTAGATATGGGGAGAGGGTGATTCAGACAAAGGCCCTAAAGCAGGAACTGAAGCCTCTTGGTGGACAACAGCACAGACATAAGGGTTGGAGGCAGGTTTGTGTCCTGCAAGCAGAGCACACAGGAAAAGGGGGCCAGACATGAGGGCTTACAGGCCACAGGAGGTTTAATGAGGGCTTACAGGCCACAGGAGGTTTAATGCAAGAAGATATTGGAGGGTTTTAAGCACAACCATAACTTGGTATGCTAATGGGGAAACAATGGTCCTAGGAAGACATCCTAGAAGAGGTGTGAGTGGACCTGAATCCTGAAGGAGTTAGGAAGGCAGGCAGACAAAGCCTTTGGAAAGGCAGGTAATTGAGAGTGTGTGGTAATTAGTGAGGCAAGATAACATAGCTCACAACTCCGGAATGAGCCTATTCGAGTTAAAGCTCCAGATCTGGAATTTACTAATTGTGTGACCAAGTTATATAAATCTGTGCTCAGTTTCCTCAATTGCAAAATAGTATCTCATAGAGTGATTAGGAAGAGTCAATGCCAACTACTTAGTATAAGGCACAAAATACGCATAATTATTAAACAAACTGCAAAATCACAAATCTTTGTTTTCTAGAGCAAAGGGTGCCCCTAGTGAGGTGGTAGAAAGGCGCTGAAGTTACAAAAATAACAAAGGTGAAGGAACTGAGGTCTGAACTTAATCCATTCAACAAAACTATTAGTGCCTAAAATATGCTACGTTCTGTTCTACCTGTAGAGGGCGCAGCGTGAATGAAAGACAAATGCCTGCCCTGGTAGGTTTTACCCAGGAGGACAGAGGATTTCTGACCAGAGTTGTGCAGATTTGGGTGTAAAGAAAAAGGGCCTCTATTCTCACAGGGAATATCTTCACTCCCTAAGTTTGGGAAGAAATCCAAAATGGGTATTTCAACAGGAAGACATTAGAAACTATCAGAAATGGGTTCCATTTAAGGTGTTTTTCATCCTTAAACTGCTATTACTAATGCCTACGTCACAGGCTGCTGTTAAAACCAAATGAAGCGCTGCAACGTGAAAGTGCTTTGAGAAACTGGGCGCATATTAGGTACAATTATTGAGCTCTGAGGCAGCCATGAGCTGAAAGGAAGAAGTGTCAACCCAAAGACTTCATTTCGCAGTGAGAAGGGTTGGAAGCCCCGGTCCCAAATCAAGCTTAATTAAGAAGCCCTTCAGCAACATCAAAGAAAATATTAGGCATCAAGAATGCCACTTTTCTGGCAGGAAATACTCCGTGTGGGGAAGCTCCCTTCCCGGTGGGGTCCTCGCTGAAAGACATGTAATAGGCCAAAGACTTCGTACCAAACCCCTCGCTCTGCGGTCCATCCTAAGGCAGGGAGCCGCACCCCATTCTCCCC